TAAGAAAGGTATTTAGAAATTTTATTTATTAAAATTCAAGTTTAAAAATCTGGCAAAATATTGTAATAGAATATTGGGTAAGGGTTTTTATGGAGGCATTTTATTTTAATTTTTCCTGACAGGGAAGATAGGCATTCTTTTGTTTTTTGTTTAGAATGTTCATTTTTAGAATGTGCAGTAGGAGGAAAAGTAAGTCCACCAGGTTTGGTTTTGGATCAAAAACTGATTGTGCAGAAACTAATCTCTCAAAGAATAAAATAAAATGTTTCTAACTTCAATGTGAAATTCATCATCGCTTTCAGGTTCAAAATCCGCACACAGGACCTCAGTCCAGCAATGTGCACTGCATAGGCTGGGCAATCCCTGTGCCTGTGCAGTGGTTTAAGTGCCTAAATTCAACTGACATTATTGGGCTCATAAATAAATGGCCTAATTTGCAGAGTTCCTGATCCATAGTTTTCCAACATCTGTAAAGTCCGGGTGTGCAAGCTGCACACATTCTGTAAGAAGCAGGGAAAGCTGCCTGCTCTTCAATGCTAATATTATTGCTAACTATTTCGGTAAATACCTCATACCCAAAGAACCAGAACCCAAAATATGCACTGCAACCCTCCTATGCCTCAAGTCTTGCCAGTGGAAACACTGATGAGTCTGCAGTAAAAGGGTGCTTATCTAGATCCCTTAAATCCAAAATTCATTCTTTCCACTGTGGTTGTGTCCCAGGGAAACCTGGCTCCTTACCTATAGGCTTAATGTAGCAGTGTTGACTCCTCTTAGAGGGGAATCGCATCCAAGCATGTGGATTCCTCTTGGTCCCCCAGGCACAGAGGGGCTACCTGAACCTCGCTTTATCCCCATCAGTCCGTTCCCCTGGCCATGGAACGCCCCCCGCCAAATCTCATATATACCCGAACCTCAGTGATCGTTACTGTCCCTCGTCCGAGCCCTGATCATCCGAAGTAGCAACCACCCGTCGGGGCCTGAGTCAGTCCCATTGCACAGACCCGAGCGGCTTGTCCTGCTCCCCGAGCCCCAGGGTGTGACGTGCCCCCTCGGGAGCGGCGCGCCTGCAAGCCATGGAACGCCCCCCGCCAAATCTCATATATACCCGAACCTCAGTGATCGTTACTGTCCCTCGTCCGAGCCCTGATCATCCGAAGTAGCAACCACCCGTCGGGGCCTGAGTCAGTCCCATTGCACAGACCCGAGCGGCTTGTCCTGCTCCCCGAGCCCCAGGGTGTGACGTGCCCCCTCGGGAGCGGCGCGCCTGCAAGCTGGGGCAGAACTAACCCTTCCCGACCCGCAGGCCCGAGCTCTGCCACGGCTC